GATCGGGGTTGACCGGACGCGCAAGAGGACTCAAGGCTCTTCAGGGCATCCCGCGCCCCAGACATCAGGACGACACGGAACGCGATAGACTAGACAGAGGTGCGCCCTTCGTTTTGCAGGGTCGACATGATTAGCTATGGGGCTCGACTGCAATGCAACTCGCCGTTCGGGCGGCGAGAAGTGGGACACACCAGTGGCAATGACACAAGGAGGGAGGGGATGCCAAAAGATGGAGCCTGCGGCCGCACCGTCGCTGAGCAGGCCAACGCCGGCGTTGCCCCCATCGTGGCGCGCGCTGCAGCCAAAGCTCCGAGTGGCAGGGGACATCGTTCCTCTGATCGCGCTCGAGGCAAGAGCCACCCCGTACACATCAGCCGTAAGGGTCCAGTCTGCGTATGTCAAGTCGGGCGCTCGGATGTGCCAACACTCAGGGTGGCAAGGAGCGGCATATACCGCAAAACTTCGGCCCTGCCTCCTCCCGCGTCTCTCTCGCCCCTCGTCGCCGCTTGCGTCCTGGTCCCTGAAGGGAGGCCGGAAGCGGCAACGACCTGGCGGAGGCGGCGGGCGCAGGGTGCCAAGTCCAGCAGCCCCGCGTCGTACGCGCCCACTATCTGCACCACGCCGCAACGCCGCAGCACCTGATGCGGGCCAGGGCCCCACAACTCCGCCTCCTCCTCCTCCTCCTCCTCCTCCTCCTCCTCCTCCTCCTCCTCCTCCCTCCCTCCCTCCCTCCCTCGCCTCCCCTCCTCTCCTCCCTCCCTCAAAAAAAGAACTTCCTCCCTCCCTCCCTCCTCCCTCCTCCCTCCTCCCTCCTCCCTCCTCCTCCTCCCATCCCCCCTCCTCCCTTCCTCCCTCCTCCCTCCCTACCCTCCTCCCTCCTCCTCCTCCCTCCTCCCTCCTCCCTCTCCCCCTCCCCTCCCTCTCACCTCCTCCCGCCGCCCTCCTCCCTCCTCATCCTCCGCCCTCCTCCTCCCCTCCTCCTCCTCCCCGTCCGCCTCCTCTCTCCTCCACCTCCTCCTCCTCCTCCTCCCTCCTCCTCCTCCTCCATCCTCCTCCTCCTCCTCTCCTCCTCCTACCTCCTCCTCCTCCTCTCCCCCTCCTCCTCCTCTCTCCTCCTCCTCCTCCTCCTCCTCCTCCTCCGCCTCTCTCCTCCTCTCCTCCTCTCCTCCTCTCCCTCCTCCCCTCCTCCTCCTCCTCCTCTCCTCCCTCCTCCTCCTCCTCCCCTCCTACTCCTCCTCTTCCTCCTCCGCCTCCTCCTCCTCTCTCCTCCTCCTCCTCCCCCTCCGCCTCCCCCTCCTCCTCCCTCCCTCCCTCCTCCCTCCCTCCATCCCTCCTCCCTCCCTCACTCCCTCCCTCCTCCCTTCCTCCCTGCACTGCCCCTCCCTCCCTCCCTCCTCTGCCCTCCCTCCCTCCCTCCCCTCCCTCCCTCCCCCTCCCTCCCTCCCTTCCCTCCCTCCCTCCCCCTCCCCCATCCAGCACCCCTCCTCCCGTCCGCCGCTCCCGCCCTCCTCCCTCCCTCCCTCCCTCCCTCCCTCCCTCTCCCTCCTTTCCCTCCTCCACCCTCCCTCTCTTCCTCTCTCCCTCCTCTCGTCCCTCCTCCCTTCTCCCTCCTCCCTTCTCGCGCCTCGCTCGTCCCTGCACCCATGCCCTCCTCCCATGCCTTCCTCCCCGTTCCATGGACCTGTCAAGGGCCGTGATCCGAGAGAGAAGCGTCGTGGTGGGACAGGGTTCTTGAGAACGGGGCGTTGCCGCGGACGGGCTCCTCGTCCCGAGACTGCATCGGACGGTCCCCAGGCCCAGGAGGGCTCCCAGGAAGTCGAAGACAGCCCAAGAGCCTCCAGCCTCCAGGAGGCCTCTGCCTCCATGACCCCTTCTCCTTTCTTTACGGTGGCCTCCTCCTCCTCCTCCTCCTCCTCCTCCTCCTCCTCCTCTTCCTCCTCCTCCTCCTCCTCCTCCTCCTCCTCCTCCTCCTCCTGCCCCCCGCCAGTGCAGCGTATCCAGCCCCGCCTCCCGCTCGCCCCGCCAAGCCTCCCCCCACCTCCCCCCGCATGCCCCCCCCGCGGTGCCCCCACCGCTCGAGCGCTCGGACGGGGGCGGGGACGGGGCCCGGCGGGGCCCGAGGAAGCGCGCTCCGCACGGCCCCTCTGGACGAAGGAAGGCTCCGCTTCCTGGGCGGGCGCGCTCCCCTGAAAAGCCCCGCCACGGGCCCGCCCCCCACGGATCCGACGTTTCAACCTGTTCAATCCGGGGTCCCGGGAGATCTCCACCGACTACTGCGGGGACCGACTGTTCATCTGGAGTCGTGCTTCTTGACTGTCTCGGGAACCTGACGAGGGCCCCCGGAGGCCGAGAATAGCGGAGAACCTCCGCCTTCAAATGTTCAATACACTGGATACCTCCGAGACCCACCGTTCACAAACGCGCGAACCTAACACGACGGACGCCCGAGCCCAATACGGACGCCCGAACCGAACACGACGGACGCTTGAACGTAACACGACGAACATCCGTGAGAGGCAAACGATACGGGAACCCCCGCTCAGGGGGGGGAAACATCGAGCTGGCATCGGCGATGCATCGCCGATAGAGCGGGAAGAGGAGGGGGGGGGGAGGCGAAGGGGGAGGATGAGAAGGGGAAGGATGAGAAGGGGAAGGGGGAGGAGGAGGAGGAGGGAGGAGGAGGAGGCGGAGGAGGAGGAGGAGGAAGAGGAGGCGGAGGTGGGAGCGGGCACCGAGAACGAGGAGGAGACTCAAGACGATGGCGGAGAAGGCTGACGGAGAAGGAGGAGGGCGACGGCGACGACGAGTGCGAGAACGCGGAGGCTACGGGGCCGAAGAGGGCGTGCCCGCGCTCTTCCTGAGGATCCGTCCGAATGGTGTTCGGATGTGCTCGGAGCCTCCAGAGGTCTTCCGAAAGTGGGCAGGAGAGGGGGCGGGAGGAGGAGGAGGACGACGACGAGGGAGGAGGAGGAGGAGGAGAACGACGACGAAGAGAAGAAGGAGGAGGAGAAAGGGGAAGAAAGGAGGAGGAGAAGGAGAAGGAGGACGACGAGGGAGCAGGAGGAGGAGAAGGAGAAGCATGGTCCAGGAGGAGGAGGACGAGGACGACGACGACGACGGCGAGGGCGAAAGAGGAGGAGTGGACTTGAGTTGAGTTCAGATGAGCGCACCCCCAGACGCCTCCTGGATGGGGTCCGAGTGGAGGGGGTTGGAGGATCGCGCCACATAACCAATGCATCGGTAATGCGTCGCCGACGCATCGGAGATGCATCGGCGACGTCGACGATGCATCGGCGCCGTCGGCGAGGAGAAAATCGGACCCCACATCGAGCCGCATCGGCGGTGCATCGGCGACCACGAACATGACTTCCTGGGGTCTCCCCCCAGGACCGCCGTTCCATCCTCAACAACTGTTGCGTTACGGCCCTAGGGCACGGGGCCGTAACACAACAAATATTGAGGGGATGCACACGCGTCCCAATCTCAAGCCAGCCTTGGCCTTAAAGCCCATTGAGGGGATGGGAGGTGGGGTAGGAAGGGGGGGAAAGGAGGAGGGAGAGGATGGGGGAGGACAGGAGGATGGGGGGATGAGAGGATGGAGGAAGAGACGAGGGGACAGGAGGGGAGATGGGAGGAGGAGAGGGGGGATAGGAGGAAGGAAGGAGGCTCGGGAGGTGAAGTCTCGCGCAATTCGGCTACTCCCTCTTCCGCCTCCCTCGCTCCCTCCTCCTCCCCACGTTCCTTCCAATCCACTGGATGAAGAACAGTTGCAAGTTGTACTCGGCGGTGGACAAACCTCCCTTTCAGATGACCTCCACTTAGTGGAAACGGCCTTGGACCGAAACCGACGGACCTGGACCCGCAAAACTGACGGCCGCGACGCCCTCTCGCGAACCTAAATTTCTTAATCGACGTGTCAGGGTAGGAGGTCTGTCCACCCCCGGATGTACCAAAACATAAGCCAGGAACCTTTACAACTGGCGAAAGAAATATTCCACATACCAGCATATAGAATCATCCCTGTCCTCCTGGCCGTCGCTCTTCTCCTCCTCCCACGGAACACCTCCATCACAACGATTCGGACGTTCTAGACACTTCACCTTCTCGTCCCCCTGTGACCCGCCCCCCTCATCCTCCCCGTCCTCTCCCCCCCTTCGCCCCGTCACCCTCCCCTCCCCAGATTCTTCCCTTCTCACCCTCTGCCCCCGCCCAATCATACTTCATCGTCCCGCCCTCCCCGTCTCCCTTTGTCATGCCTTCCGCCCGCTTGCATCTACTTCCAGATTTCTAATATACCTCCCGCAGCTGATCCCTCGCTCTCATCCCCATCGCTCCCTGGTCCACATCGTGTCTCCCGTTCCTCCTCCTCCTCCTCATCCTCCTCCTCTTCCTCCTCTTCCTCATCATCATACTCAGCAGCATCATCAGCAGAAGCATCACCACTATCATCATCATCAGCAACAGCATCACCATCACCATCAGTATCAGCATCAGCATCACCATCACCATGTTCCGCATCATCATCATCATCATCATCATCATCATCATCATCATCATCATCATCATCATCATCATCATCATCATCATGATCAGAAGCATCATCATCGTCATCACCATCATCAGCAGCATCAGCATCTGACTCATCAGCATCATCATCATCAGCATCAGCATCAGCATCATCAACATCATCGTCCCTATCTGATCCTCATCCCCATCCCTCTCCTCTACATCATCCTACCTCAGATGTGCCGCCGCACCAAACCACTCCCATCTCGCCCTCTCGCCCGGCGCCTCCTTCCCACCAGGTGCCCTCCGTATTGCCGTCCGTCTCCTCCTCCTGTTCTTTCTCCTCCTCCTGCGACCTTGCCCACCTTCTATTCCCTCTTCCCTTCATCCTCTTCCTCCACCTCCCCTACGCCCTCGTCCAACTTCCTCGCCCTACCCCTTCTTCACACCACGCTCCATCCCTCGATCGTTCCTCCCTCACTCTGTCGTTCCTCCTCCAACCTCCTCCCCATCGCTGATGTGGCCAACGGTGTGTCCGCCAGGGAGGTCGCCATACTCTTTTCCAGTGACTCTAGGGCCACCGTATCTGCCAGAAGGGTCGCCATTTCAGCCAGGCCGCTGCGGCGGATGCACGCTCAGCCAACAGAGGGCACGAACAAAAAGGTCACACTGCTGTGCCAGGCCCAAGCACAATCGCTCTAATTCCGCCTGCACCGCCTCCTTCTCATCCTCATTATGTTCCATATATCACCCTGCTGATCCTCACCCTCTTCATGCGCAAACGGAAGCAACGTTGTGAACACAAACACGCAGTAAGTCGTAAGTGGTCCTCATCTTCACGCCTCAGATGGGCCAGCGAAGATGCCAACCGTCTCGTTGAAGTAGATCTGGAAAGCGCTGTCAGGGGCCTTCTTGTTCATGTTGGAAGACCACATGTGCTCGGCAGCGGTGTCCCACTCCTCAAGCGGAAAGACGTTCTTGAAGCGCTGCGTGTCCATGAGGAACTGGTGGCGGGTGACGATGCCACCCCACTTCTCCCAGTTCATCTTGAAGAGCGCGATCTTCTGGTTCGCCTCGGGGTCCTCCCATTTTCCGTGGAAGGCCTCTCCGCGGAGCGGGCGCTTCTGCGACAGCCACTGGTCTTTGCTCCAGCCTTGCAGCATGCCCTTCACACGCTCGATCGGGGTGCTGCCATGCACGGAACCAGGAATCACTGCGAACTTGTTGTACGGATTCTTCTGGGGCTCGAGGTTGAACGTGTTCATGACCGAGGCCATGTAGACCCGGCTGTCCGACTTCATGAGAGAAAGGGCCTTCTCGATAAAGTTAGGGGTGCTCCTCGAGAAGTTGCTCCTGTAGAGACGCCACTGGGCATCCATGTGGTACACGTACTGGCTCTTGGCCTGGAAGTTCTCGTCCAGGGCCATGGTGTTGATGTACATGTTGTCATAGAAGCTGCTGTTCCTCTCCCCATCTGGGATGGCGTAGTGCTCCAGTGCCCGCTGCCGCAGCTCCTGGGAGCCGTAGTCCATGACCTTCACCTTCCACTGCGGGGCAGCGGCGGGGCAGTGGTCGCGCAGCAGCTCCGCAGCAGCCTTTGCAGTGGCGGTGGCCGCCGTCGAGAGCCCAGAATCCACGGTGAACCTCTTGACGGTCTGGCCGGCTGCCAGACGCATCTCGCTAAAGGAGCCTGGCACTTCTTTGGGGGTCACCATGTGGCTGGTGACGTTGCCAGGCGTCTCGGGGCCGAGCTTGTCGTGGCCGACGTGGGGAACGTCGAGGATCACGAGGATGTCGCTGAAGCAGAAGCGCATGGCGCGAAGGGAAGCCAGCATGTTGCGGTGCATCTCCTGGAAGGACGGCTGCCCCCACTTGTGGCCGCTGCTGCGGCAGCCCGCCACCGGATCGCAGTGGGTGTTGTAGCTGAAGGTGACGTCGGCCCCCGGGACGGTGAGCCACGCGTCGGCTATCTCGGCTGCCTCAGTCTCGTTGAGGGGCTCCGCGAAGCCCTCCAGCGCGGACGAGGCGTCGACCTCCATCTCCGCCCGGTGCAGGTTGCTCGACATCGACTCCCTGATCCCCTCCAGCGCCGACGCCTTGAGCTCCTTCGTCTTGGCGAGCTGATCCTAGAGAGATCTCCCAAAAGGGGTCCGAGCAGATAGAATCGCAGGATCGTGCCACACCTTCGATGCATCGCCGCTGCATCGGCGACTCCGGCGATACATCAGCGACGTCCGCATTGAGCACGTCGGCCTCCACCTCGAGCCGCATCGCCGATGCGTCGGCAACGCGGCCCGATCCTCCGACGCCATCTGCTCGGCACCCACTTGGGAGGCCCAGCTCCTCGGAGGCCTTGTCCTCCAGGTCGTCGAAGGACAGCTCCTGGCCCCACGGCCGCGCCTCCTGCGCGGTCATCCAGGCGGGCACGTCGGCGGGCTCGGCCTGCGTCTTGAGGCCCCGGGCGCACAGAGGCAGGAACGCGGCCAGCGCCGCGGAGCGGGGCACGGGCATGGCCGGCGCGTGGGCGTGCGGTGAGCGCGGTATGAATGAGCGAACGGTGCAGTGCGCGGAGGCGACTGGTCCTGCGGCCGCGGCCGGAGCGACGGAGGTCGAGAGGCCGGCGGAGGTAGACATGCGGGGGGGGGGGGGAACCCGAGTCGGCTCGGGGGTGGGTGCAGGCGTGCGCGGCACGTGCCGAAGCGAAACACCATCTGTGGAGAGCAGACCACCCACCCTCGTGAGGATCGCCCCAGCACGCGGAGCCGTTGGCCTGGCGGTTGCTCCTTCCCTGAACTTCAGCGGCACAGGTGCAGCCGGGGCAAGGGTGAGAGCACGCCACGTGCACCCTGATGCAGACGTTGCCAGGGATCGTGGCCGTCCAGAGCAAGATTGAGCCCGCAGTGGGGCGAGAGCACGGCTCCCGAGGAAATTGGGAGGACACCTCGGGCGACAACCCACCAACTGAAACTCGGGTCTCGGCCTCGCGCGTCGCCGAACCCTAGAGAACCCAAGAGGGTACCGAACCTGTACTCCCCGGATGGACATCTCCTGGGGGGCGTTACGACCAAAAGTTCGAGGCGAAACCAGCCGTGGCGAAGAGAGCGCTCCAGGACGAGCAGCGATGTCGGTACGTTCTCCTGCTCTGAGAACTCGGGGAGACGTAAGACTCGGTTTCGGGGGACTCGAAATGGCCTGACGGGGCCGTTAAAAAAATGGCGAGACCGATCTGAAATTCGACGCGAACTCCCGCAGCAAAGATCCCACGAAAACTGGACCGTCAAAATTCAGGACGGCCCGTCAAAAAGCTTCGGCAAACAGTTCCATGCAAAAAACTCCAGCCTCACGCTTCCCTAGAAAACGGCCCCCGAGAGCCGTTGAAGAACACCCGCCAGCTGAGAAATATCGCGCGTCGCGACACCTCGCTCAGACCCCCGACGCCGTGACGACTTGCTCGTGGCGTGGATCCCTAGAGGACGCGACACCCTTCCCCCGGGACCAGCTTCTCATCCAGAGCCGTTTTGATTGAAGATCCTGGGGCCCGGCGGGAAGGCTCGGCAAGGCACGGCGGCGGCGGCGGCGGCGCCGGCGCCGGCGCCGACGACGACGACGACGACGACGACGACGACGACGCCGACGACGACGCCGACGACGACGACGACGACGACGGCGGCGGCGGCGACGGCGACGACGACGACGAGGTCCTTCCCGCCGGCAGCCTCCCGCCAGCCCGTCCCGCCCCTCCCTCGACGCGGGAAGGGCCCGCGAGAAAAGCTGCACAAAAAGCCGCACGTCGTGCTACTTTTATCCCTCGGCGCGAGGAGGACTGGGCCGCCGTCCCGCCGCCGGCTGCCTCCAGCGCCGTAGCCGCCGCGCCCGCCGAACCGGCGTCCACCGCCACGCCCTCGCGGGCAGGGGGGGGGCACCGCGCGCGCGACGGGGCCGCGCCGAGGAGGAGAGGCGAGGGGGAGGCGTAGGGGGAGGGGGGAGGGGGAGAGGGGGAGGGGGAGGGACAAGCCAGGTGCGCTCGCGTCATATCTGACATCCTACCCCTCCCTCCCATCCCTTACCATGGCGCAGATCCCCTCTCTACTCGCACAGCCGGATGTCGAGCAGGGCAATGATCCCGAAAGGGTACGCGATGCATTGTAGAGCACGGCATGGCATGGCGTAGAAGAGCACCGGAAAGCGTAGCATCAACCTAGCATTGCATTGTATGCCGTGGCATGGCGCGGGAAATGACGCCAGCGCTGCAGCGGGAGCACGAGTCGAAACGAACGGAAGCGCGGAAATGAGGCCAGCGCTGCAGCGGGAGCACGATTCGGAACGAACGGAAACACGGAAATGAGGCCAGCGCTGCAGCGGGAGCACGATTCGGAACGAGCGGGGCCCGAAAATGAGGCTGGCGCCTCAGCGAGAGCAGCATTTTGGAAAAAAGTGCAGGCGAAAACCCAACTCCGGGGAATCCTGTGTGTTAAAAACAATACGCGGGGGGTGGGTCGGCCACTTTCAAACCGTCATCAGGGGAAGAGGGAGAGCAGTATTCATATTGAGTAATTGTGGAGGGGGAGGGAGGAGGGGGAGGAGGGGGAGGAGGAGGGGGAGGAGGAGGAGGAGGAGGAGGAGGAGGAGGAGGAGGAGGAGGAGGGAGTAGGAAAGACGTTCCCTCTCTCAAGCCCCCCCCCCCGCTTTGGTCCGCCCCGACACGGCGCTGCCAGCTCCTGGAAGGTCCGCTGGAGTGCGGCAAGTAGGCACCGCCCGCCCTGGGTGCTGCCAAGTGCGCAGCTCTACGGGGCCCCTGGGAGGTCCAGCTGAGTGTGACCTTACCCAGATTCAAGCGAGCGACGATAAGCAACGGGTCGTAGGCAAGAAAACATAGCGACCTTACGCGGTGGCTTACGAGGGCCGCCAGCGTGGCACACCGCGTGGAAAAAAGGGCACTGACGCGCGCGCCTGTTGCAAGAAACTCACGCGCCAATGTCGGCGCAATCGACCCCCTGCTTATTCCGCAATTCAGACCTCGCCTGCCCTTCTCCTCCTCCCCATTACAGTGGATATGTCGACCCCTATCCCAGGTTTCGTGGCTCTTCGAATGGACCAGAAATGTTGGGTCGAACACTGAGATATACGATGGTAGTCGGTCCATCCTCGATAGGGGTGCGTCCGAATAGCCCGCTTTGGGTGTATCCCAGGGTTCCCCCCTTTTCCTGAGCGGCCGAACTTTTCGGGCGGAACTCGGGGACTCGGGGAGAACATCACATGTGATCCTCCTCCTCCTCCTCCTCCTCCTCCTCCTCCTGCTCCTCCTCCTCCTCCTCCATGTCCTGCTCCTCCTCCGCCTCCACCTCCGCCTCCGCCTCCGCCTCCGCCCCCTCCTCCTCCTCCTCCTCCTCCTCCTCCTCCTCCTCCTCCTCCTGGGCATCGACTTCGCCTGCGGCAGGCGCATCGTGCGCAAGGTGCGGCAGGAGAAGCTGGTTCAAGCAGGGCTACGCCAGCGCCGCGTGGCCATCCTGAAGACTGGGGCTGGGCGCAAGAAGGCCGTGCGCAAGGTGGCCCGTGCTGGGATCGAGCCCAGCGTGACCTACGGCGTCGCGGTCACGGGCTGCGCCACCATGGAGCTGGACACGCTGCGCACGGCGACCTTCAAGGCAGTGGCCCCCAGCGTTGACGGTCGCTCGCGCACGCTGACGCTTATGCTGACGCCCATGCTGGACCCGATGATCAGGGCCACGCTGCTCCCAGTGCTGATGATGCTGCGCGCGGCGTGGGAGTGCTGGATCCCGCAGCATATCATCGCCTACGGCCTCGCTTGCTGCCAGGCGGCGAGCTGGTGCCAGGCCAAGGGCCCCTTCAGCGCGGTGAGGCTCACGCTCGAGAGAGTTGGCTGGCAGGTGCTGAGCCCTACTTTGTGGCGCACGCATGAGGGCTACGACATTCATGTCTTCGAGCTGGGGCCGTGGTCGGTCAAGCGCATTCTCCTGCGAGCAGTTCAAGCGTGGCAATGGCGTGAGGTTAGCAAAGGGCCTGGCCTGGAGCACCTCGCGAGCGGGGGGGTCATCGCGCCCTTGATCACGATGACCTCCTCGGGTGCCGTCAGCCGCAAGGGCGTCTTCGGTCGGCAGCTGGCTGTCATGGAGGCCAAGGATCAAGATCCTGTGAGGAGGGCGGCTGTGCACGCGCGCATGGTGCTGGAGAAGCGGCTGAGGGCCTACACCACCTTCTGGATCCAGGACATCGCCACGCTGGACGAGGATGGTAACAAGGCCCACTGGCTAAGGCTCTGCGTCTCCTACGTGGCCGACCTGCTGGCGCACGGCACGTGGCTGCCGCTTGTCACCGAGACGGCGCGATCCCTCGGCATCGACAACCTCGGCGTGGCCAGGCTGAAGATGGCCCAGGACCTCTGCGAGTCGGCTTGGTCGGCCAGGAAGCGCATCAGAGCCCGCTACCACGCCAACATGATGCGGCTGGCAGTGCAGGACCCTGACGAGTGGGACGTGCAGGCGGCGCGGCACGCGCAGTCCATGATCAGCGCGGAGGAGCAGTTCGACGAGACGCCTGCCAGGCGCGCCGCGGTGGCCTCAGCTGGTGTCGCCGACGCTGCCTCAGTCCCTCCGTTGGCGATGGCGGTCTGCCCAGAGTTGGCGTCAGGACCCGCTGTCCAGCGGTCGACGTTGCCAAGCTTTGCCGAGCTCGGAGTCAGAACCCCCTGGCCAGCGGTCGCGTCGCCACATGCTGTGCTCGAAAGGTCAGGACCCGCTGGCCAGGGGTCTACGTCGCCTGTTTCTGCTGTGCTCGAAAGGTCAGGACCCGCTGGACAGCGGCCAGCGTCGCCACGCCATGGACGAGCAACAGTGCAGATGAACCATGGACCGAATCCCATGGAAGGCAAGCAGTCATCCATCAAGCTCACGCTGAAAGAGCGAGGGTATCTAGCATCCGTTGTCACCGACGGCCAGTGGTGCCAGAGCCGCAAGTACGAGAAGGGCATGGCCTCGGACGACTCGTGCTTGCTGTGCGGCGAGGTCGGCACCCTGCTCCACAGGCACTGTGGCAGCTGCGCGGGTTGGCCGCCAGAGCTGAGGCTGCCCGACAAGATGCGCGAGCTGGCGGCGAGGTCGGACTTGCCCGAAGTGCGCTGCCTGCTGGAGCGCGTGCTGTGGGCGGCGCCGACTGGCATCGTCAAGCCAGCCCCGTCGCCGCACGTCTGCTGGCTGGGCGAGAGCGACGGCTTCTTCCCCTCTGGCGAGCTCTACCTGGACGGCTCGCAGTACGAGGGCGACTTCGAGCAGTACGCGAGCGTCGCCTGGGCCGTCATCGCGCTCGAGGCCGACGCCGACGCCTTCCTGTGCGGGGCGTCGGGGATGCTGTGCGAGCCCCACGTCGACATCAACGGCGGTGAGCTCATGGCGCTCCTGATGGTCCTCAGGTTCGCGGTGCCGCCCGTCACCGTCGTCGTGGACAGCGGCTTCGTGCACCGCGGCCTGCTGGAGCTGGGCCCGAGGCGCACCACCGCGCACGGCGCGGCGTGGGCCCACCTCTGGAGGGAGGTGTGGGCCAAGCTGGAGGACTTCGGCGGCCTGGGCGACGGCGGGCTGAAGGTCAGGAAGGTCCCCGCCCACCAGACGCAGAGGGAGATGGTCGCCCACGGGAAGATCTCGTACCGCGACTGGCTGGGAAACGGCATGGCGGACAAGGCCGCCAAGTCGGCGGCGGCGGCAGGGCGGATCCGCCAGCAGGATCGCAGGAGGCTCGTCATGGCCGACAAGCTGGTCGAGGGCGTCGCGCTCTGGGTCTCGGCGGTGGGCGGCGCGCTGGACGGCAGGGACACCACCCACCGCGTGGCGAAGCCGCAGCGCCCCGCGCCGAAGGCGCTGCTGGCGCAGCCGGCCGCCAGGCTCTCCTGTGCCTGGCGCGGGGAGCCTGGCAAGCGGTGGTGCAGCCGCTGCCGCTGGGTGGAGCGCTCAGGCGAGTGCCCAGGCACCATCGTGCCAGCGGCGCTCCAGCACAACGCCGAGCTGGCCGCCAGGGGGCTCAGCACGCACGTGCTCGTGCGCATCGAGCCCGAGCGTGACGTCGAGCTGCGCCGCGACATGCCGCTGGTCGCGTGCGCCGCCTGCGGAGCCTTGGGGGCGGCCAGGGCCTCCAGCTTCGCGCCGCCGTGCGGCCGCGCGTCGGCCAAGGGGCTGCTGGCCGTGGCGCGCCTGGAGAGGCGGCTCGCCCCTGCGATCTCGGGCAAGGTCGCGGTGGCCATCAACCCGCTCAGGAGTGAAGGGTGACGGCCAGCTTCCCCTCCTCCTGGCGCGGCGGGCCGACGGCCTGTGTGGCCCGTGAGGCCGTCGCGCTGGCGGCACGCCGAGCCCGAGGGGCCGTGGCGTGCGGGCGCTCGCTGAGAGCGCGAGCCCGTCGCGCGTGGGGCGCGCGGCGAGCGCGGGCGGCGGGTCACACGCGCCGCCTGAGGCTCGTGCATCCTCCTCCTCCTCCTCCTCCTCCTCCTCCTCCTCCTCCTCCTCCTCCCGCCTCCGCCTCCGCCTCCGCCTCCGCCTCCGCCCCCTCCCCCTCCTCCGCCTCCTCCTCCTCCTCCTCCTCCTCCTCATTCTCCTCCTCCTCCCGCGCCCCGCCGACGCGACGCAAGCTGCTCCACACCGCCGAGGGAGGAGCGCACGAGAACGGCAGCGTGTCGCCCTGCCCCCCCCCCCCCGCGGGCGGCGTCTTCGGCGGCAACTCACGGGGAGCCTCCCTGACCATCTTGTCGGCTCTTGCGAATCGACGCTGGTCGTCGCTAAATCGACGCTAGATCGACGCTGACCGACGCTCAATCGGCGCCATCTCATCCACACCCGGACGCTAATCGATGCCCATCGACGCCAAAGGCAAAATCGAGAGGGCACAGCAGGCTCCCGGGATTTGCTACCGAGCGGTGTCCGCCGAGTTGACCGTATTTCGTTGCCGCAGGCCCGACGAGCGCGCGGGCCCGTCGAGCGGCCCAGGGGCGCTGAACAGCGAATGGTGCGAACAGCCGGGGTAAAGGGCAAGGCGAGGCAAGATATGGTTTTTGTTTCACTGTTCGGCGATACCCCGGGTTGTCCTGTGAGGACTCACTCATGCCCGTGCGCGCGGACCAGCACGGCGTACCTCCTCCGGACCTGCGCAGCCGAAAAGATCAGGTTGTCCAAGGGGGGGGGGCGGGCGGGCACCATACCCCGGGTTCTCACCGGACCCCCCCAAAAAACAGTCTCCAGGCGGCGTGGGAAACTCAGACCATGAATGCCTTCGTCAGAATGCTGCGGCCTAGGCTCGCTCGAGTCCCTGAAGGTGGGACGCCAGCTCGTCCAGAAGAGGCCCAGCAAGTCGGCGTGCAGGTCGAAAAGGACGAGCAATTGGCGAGGGGATCGGGGAGGGCGGGGCGGAAGGGAAAATTAAACAGGAAGGACACGGGTCTACACCTTGCGAAATGCTCAAGAAATCATGGGTTAAGAAATTCATAGTCTCAGAACTTGAATAAAAACCCCAAAATTCGATTAAAATCTTAGGACCTACATTGAAACATTAAGAATAATCGAGACTCTGGTCGAAAACTTGGGTTTTCTTAAGCATCGCCTAGAGTGTAGGGCAAAAGGCGTCCTGGAGACGTGTCGCCGTTTTTGGGGCCCCTGGGGCCCCCGACAGGCAACGGGCCCCTGTGAACCGTCAACAAAAAATGTTTCGGAGGAGTGACGAACTGGCCCTCGGGAGCGCCCCAGGGGGTCGAACCCTGCCCTCGCCGATCAACGATCAGGAGGGGAAAAAACATACAGAATCTCCAGGATGACGCCGATGTCTGCAAGACCACGACGATCTCCGAGACGCCGGCGGCGGAATCCGAACCAAGGGCCCGCTTCCCTCAGGATCCCAGAGAAAAGCGGGGGGGCGAGGAAGGACGACGACGCAACGACAACGACGACGACGACGACGACGACGACGACGACGACGACGACGACCACGGCGACCACAACGACCACGACGACGACAACGACGACGGAGGTCACACAGGCGGCGACGTCCACGCGACACGACGACGATGATGACGACGACGACGGCGACGGCGATGGCGGCGGCGGCGGCGGCCTCCGCGGGAGCGGAGACGGCGACTGCGACGGCGACGGCGACGGCGACGGTGACGGCGACAGCGACGGCGACGGCGACTGCAACGGCGACGGCGACCGCGACGGCGACAACGGCGGCGACGACCCCAAACCCAAAAATTGTTCAAAGTCGGTCCCCCGCCCCCTCCCGGGGCCGCAAGCTTCCATCCTGCATCAATCTTCGACGGGCCCAGGACCCCGAAACGGCCTCCGGAGGTCGAAATCTGAAAAAAAGGCATCCGAAGGCCGAACATCTCGAAGAGCATCTGAGGCACTACATCTGCAAACTTTACTTCGCTACAGTCGGCCCGAATCACAAGGACGCGCGATGAGGATGCAAGGGCACTGGAACGCCGTTTCGAAGCTCTTTGAGCGCGGCGCGACGAACGAAACTGGCCAAAGATGCACCGAGGAAACAAGGATGCGAGGGTACCCTTGGGAATGTTGCCCACCCGTACTAGTGTGCGGGTTGACGATGACGGCGATGACGACGATGACGACGACGACGACGACGACGAACACGACGACGACGGCGACGACGACGACGACGACGACGACGACGACGACGAACACGACAACGACGACGAACACGACGACGACGACGACGACGACGATGACGCGCTGCGCCTCTGCGCTGCATGCGGCGGCGCAGCGCTGGTGGGCGGCCAGCGCCTCCTCTGGCAGGCTCGGGGGGCGGCGGCGGCGGCGGCGGCGGCGGCGCGCGCTGGCCGCGCGCGCCGCCCGCGGGGGGCGGCGGCGGCGGCGAGCGCAGAGCCCTCCTCGCAGCGGCGGCGAGCGCCGACGGCGAGCGCCGACGGCCAGCGCCGACGGCCACGCCGACGGCCACGGCCACGCCGACGGCCACGGTGGCGACGGCGATGGCGACGGCGGCGGCGAGCGCAGCGACGCGCGGCGACGGCGGCGGCGGCGACGCCGACGGCGGCGCAGACGCCAGCCCTGCGATGCGGGCGTTGCTTTCTTGCTCGAGCCAGGCGTTGTCGCCCAGTTTCGGGCCCCGGAGCCCTCACAAGGCGATCCGGCTCGTAGAGGGTCGGATCTCGGGGTTAACGCCGACGGCCACGCTGACGGCGGCGGCAGCGATGGAAGCGACTCCGGTGCTTCCACCGCCTTGACCCCACGTGGTGGCCTGGTGCACGGAGGCGTTCCCGGCCAACATTCGGTCGGGCCTGTCCTACATGGAGATTTTCGACGAAAAGTAAAAAATGCCCCAAAAATTATCAAAAAATAGTCCAACAATAGTCTGGGGACTATGTTTGGGGTATGTTTTTTACCTTTTTGGGGTATTGTTGGAGTATCTTTTCTTGTTCGTCACAAATCCCCCTGTAGGGGACACGCCAAACATAAGCCTAGCACGCCACATCCAACCGATCTTGGTGATTTCTGCTCGTCCCTTCCGGGTGACGCCTGGCCGCGGCACCTGCGCAGGGGGCGCCCACGTGTCGAAGACGGCGCCCTGCGGCGGAGCCGAAGCAGTAGCACGCGGCAGAGCTCGCACTTTCCGCTCCCAATAGGGGGCCGCATGCGAGCCCTACCCCTACCCCCCCACGACTTCTGCGGGGGAGGGTGGGGTTCACTTCGCCCGGGAGCTCCCGAACGCAGTGAATCCCACCCTCCCCCTCAGAAATCGTGGGGGGGTAGGGGTAGGGTTCGCATGTGGCCCCCTCCCCAATCCTCCCTTGCTTCACCCGCCCCGAGTGATGCTGCCGGGTCACGATATCGGGCCTCCTGCGGCCGTTCGGGGCGACTCGAGCGCCCCTCTCGGCGAGGCGCGGCTGCTGTTGAGCACCCCGAGGCCGGAAAACCACCGAGAACCGCTGAGGCCACCCGACCCCGAGATCCAACGGCGCGGGCCCCAGACCCAATCTGTCCGCGCCCCTTGTCGAGCCGGATCGCTCGGTGGGGGTCCCAGGGCCCGGGACTGGGCGGAAACGTCCGACTCGAAAAACCTGAGACGCCGCAATCTCAGGGGACGACCCCGAACCTCTGACGAACCAACAACACACACCCATACCCATAGGGGGGTCGGAGAGGGCTATGGGTGCGTGTTGTCGGATGGGGGTCCCCGCTCGAACGGGAGCGTTCCCCAGGGTCCGACAACCCGCACCCATACCCATAGCCAGTCCTCCTCTCAACGACCCCCCTATGGGTATGGGTGTGTGTTGCTCGTTCGTCAGAACCCCCTCTCGTCCCTCCCCGGCGATGGGCGGCCGAAGGCCCGGCGGCGTCCTCCAGCGCCCGGGGCATGCGCCGCCCGGACTCGGCGGAGCCAGGCGTGGCCTGCCCGCCGAAGGTGCGCGGGAGCCACGCCGCCATGTCCTCGGAGGGCGCCGGCGGGGCGGAGGGCGGTGCAGGGCAAGTCCTGGGGGGTGCGTCGCCCCAGACGTGATCGCGTCGTAAAAAATCAGGACGGGGGGGGGGGTGGCCGTTTCCGGACTCGGGACCGTCACAAAAACGGCCCGGGCTGAAAAACCGGTCCCGCGGAAGGGGTCGGGACTTCTAGGGGCCACGAATCGAAAAAATCAGGACGTCGCAGTTCTGGGGCGGGAAAGAGTGAGGGCGATTGAGCCTGATCAAGGGGCCATTTCGCCGGACCAGGCCGGGTTCAGGCCGGATGGAACCGGATGAAGCGGGGTTAGGCGCGACTAGAAAGGATTACGCCAGATTCGTCCAGCTTTCGACCATGGATGCACCAGCGCCGATGCTGACCTTGATGACGCAAGTCCTGGCCGGCACGTGCGCGGCCCAGGGGAAGGCCAGAGACGCATTGGAATAAGAAGAGGCGCCATGAGATCTGGGGAGACACCACGGCCCCCGCCATTACATCCCCCCTCCTAGTCTTGGTAGTCCCCAAACATGGTGGTGACAACACACGGCGGTGAGTCTGGGGCGATATGGTCTCACCACCTGGTTTGGGGACTCGTGTGGTTTTTCGAGGATGTCCCGAACGCTTGTAGGTCCAGAAGTCACAGAACCTGGCGGTGACCCCGTGTCCCAGACCCCAGCGGTGGCTTTTTGGGCATCCCAGGCCACCCCTTGATATCTCACCACCTGGTTTTGGGACTCCCACGAGTCATCACCCCCCCTTTGGCCGCCCCCGATGTCCCAGGGCCGGAGTCGGTGAGCACCACAACCAGGAGGCCAAATCGAATCGAAACGTGCCTCGGATATCGGGCCGCCTCGGCGCGGAGCCGGGGAGCGAATGGGATCGGCTGGCCGCCAGGATGCACAACAGAGCCATGCGAGCATCTGGCGCAATCGAGCCGACGGAATATCGGAGTCGGAACGGACCGGGCCAGCCAGATCCAACATCGAATCGGGCCGATCAGACCGCAATGGACCCTGCGTTGGTGCTAGCTGTCCCAGGCTTCGAGGAGCGCAGGGCCTAGGCAAGGAGGAAGAAGGAACAAGGAACAGAGAGGACGACGTGTTGTCAGGGACCTCCACGAGGCCACCTCATCGAGACCCTGACAGGGCTCCAGGCGCCTCCGGAGAGGCCGCGCCCGCGGTCCGATGGCGGCGCGGGCGCCACATGCCCCGAGCGGGCGCCCCGCGCTCAGACCCCGCCGTCGCCCCACGCGGAGGCAGCCGGGCCGTGCCCTCGAGATGGGCTGGGCGGCGACCACACACGCACCGCACCTGCTGCGGTAGAGGGAAACAAGTACTGAACACTCCCCCTCCCCCCCAAACTCAATGTTGGCACGCGCGGGGGAGACTGCCGTCGAAGTGCATCCCATCAGACCCACCGCCAACTTTGAACATTGGGGGGAGGGGGGAGGCGTTGACGGATGAATGTGGCCTGTGCTCGCTGATTTGTTCCGAGGCCTGCCAAGGCTGCGGGCTGCGCACAGGCAGGCCCCCCCCCCACGCAGCCGCGGCTGGCCTCGGCAGGCCCCCCGGAGTAGCCCCCGGGGGTGGGCTCACCACCGTGCCCTGACGCCGCCGCTGGCCTCTCGCGCCCGGGGGCGCGCCACGCCCCAGGGACGGGCTGCTGCGAGCGCCCCGGGGGACTACCCAGGGGGCTTTCTTGTGGTGTGTGGACGCGGGCTGGCGACTACAGTCAGCGTTGACCTAAGGAACCCTAAATAAGGAACGAGGCCTCAATGTTTCCCATCGGAAACATAAGGATAACCTGAGGCAAGCTGTGAAACACTCAAGGAACACCGAGCCCCTCCCCAACGAAAAGGGTTCCTTCTTCAGCGCCCCGACTGTAGCCTCAGCTCCCGGCAGAGCCGACGAACGGCGAGGGGCCCGGAGGCCGCAGGGGACGAGGGACGGACCCAGGGCCCGAGACAAAGCCGATGAATCGGGCATGTCCTCCTACAGGCGGATGTTTACAGACAAATGAGAAAACTATCCCAGTGCGACCCTACCTAGGAGTTGGAGCCTCTAGGAAAGCAGCACTACAATATATGCTATGCTATGCTATGCTATGCTGCGCTATGCTATGCTATGATATGCTATGATATGCTGCGCTATGCTATGCTATGATGGGCTATGACATGCTATGATATGCTATGCTGCGATATAACATGCGATGGCATGATATGATATGACGCGCTATGATATGATATGATATGATATGACATGATGCGATATGCTATGATATGATATGGTTTGATATGATATGACATGGTATGCTATGATATGATATGATATGGTATGACATGGTATGATATGATATGATATGATATGCTATGATATGATATGCGGCGATGTGGTATGCTAAACTAAGCTACGCTATGACATGATATGATGTGATGCGTTATGTTATGAGATGGTATGATATGATATGATATGATATGGTATGCTACGCGATGATATGATATGATATGCTGCGCTATGATATGATATGTTATGGTATGATATGATATGAGATGTTATGCTATGCTATGCTATGCTAATGCTGCGCTGCGCTAAGCTAAGCTGAGCTGAGCTAAGCTAAGCTAAGCTAGGCTAAGCTAAGCTAAGCTAGGCTAGGCTAAGCTAAGCCAAGCTAAGTTAAGCTAAGCTAAGCTAGGCTAAGCTAAGCTAAGATGAGATAAACAACGCTAAGCTGAGGAGACGTAACTGGGGGAACCGCGGGGCGGATGCCGGGGGAACCGCCCGGGGCGAGCCCCACTGCCCGGCCCTTTAAGCCCAGACAGTACGAACCCTTCTAGGCAGAGCCTGGGTAGGGAATAAAAAACAAACAAAAAGTCCAAAATAGTCCAGAAAATCGTCCCCAAACTATTTGTTGAGTAATTCTGTATATTTCTCCTGTAGAGGGGCATACCCGACTTAAGACTGCCCGGAGAGGGCTGCCCGTGTGCAACCCGAAGCCTTGCCAGCCACACCACACCGTGGTCGCAGAATTCCGGGCCACTCACGGGGGCCGCTGGCGTGCCACCGCGTCTGCGGTGCCCCCTCCAGGGCTCGCCCAGGGCTCTGAGGGGGGCCAGGGAACGCAGCACCACCTCCGTCCAATGCATGGTGCAGGAGATGGTGGACTCGTGGGAACGCAGCACCACCTCCGTCCAATGCAAGGTGCTGGGCATTGTGGATTCGTGGGAACGCAGCACCACCTCCGTCCAATGCAAGGTGCAGGACATTGTGGACTCGTGAGATGCAACTGCGCCTCAGGAAAGCCCACCAAATACGCGAACTCCCCGCAGCCAACTCCCCTGGCCCGCCCTCTGCATGTCCCCTCCAGGTAGTGGTGGCAGCGATCATCATTTCTTATCCCTTGTGCCGTGTTCTTACCAGGGAGGAACTTAAACGGTGTTTTCCGTATCGTTCTGTGCTTCGGTGTTCCTCGTGTTGCCTTCGCTTCGCCACGAGTGAAAAACAGAACGAACAATAAAGCGGCCCACGAGATGGCCAACACACCGTTCAGGTCCAGCCCTGGTTCCCACGAGGCTGAAATGCCCATAGAGGTCAGCGCGCCAACTCGCGCACAAACAGGAGGCACGCGAAGAAAATTGGCGTAGCGATCTCGCTTCCTCCCCGTCCCCCTCCCCGACCGGCTCTCGAAAATCGGCTGGCGATCCGCCGTGCCCACTCTCAACAGATCAGCCTGCGACCCGGAAAATCAACGCATGAGCGGAGCGCCAGCGCTGCCTCATCAGGACAACTCTTTCTCCACCCATCTTCATCATCCTTTGAGGCATCCGAGCTCTAAGATCCAGTGCGCCAGTGGCTGGCTTGCTCACCAGTGTGTGGGAACCTCCCCGAGCGCCAGACTTCCAGTGGGGCACAAGCAGAGTGAGGTAGCGACCAACGCTGCGAGAGAAGCCCGCGACCCTCCTCCCCCGCCCCACGCGCACAAAAAAAGGCGGAGGAGGAGGAGGAGGAGGAGGAAAGGGGGGGGCAAGGGAGGAGGGGTAGGAGTCTCACCCTCGCCCTGCCCCCCCCCCCTGCCGAGACCTGCAAGCAACGTTGAAATCTCGATGGCAAGCAGCAGCTGATTAAAGTGCATAGACGACCGCGTCCCATTACTCGCAATGTTGAAGGGGCCCAAGGACACACAAATAAATACACACAAATAAAAGTATTTCCCATATTTTCTCATATGTTCTGGGTTTTTGTCTTGCCCCCCACTTCCCATATTTTCCCATATCTTCTGGGGAATCGACGATTAATTGTGTGTGTTTCCCTCCTGAAAAGTAACTACTCGCAAATGGCCTGGATCCGCCGTGGGGGACCTGCGACAAATTGCATCGATGCGGACATGTTCTTGTTTCGTGCGTTTGCGAGTAGGCACCGTGCGAGTAGTGAAACGCGCTCGGTGACTGCAGCAGGGACTGCCCCCCGGAACGTCAGAGCCTGCCAAGAGACAGGCGGCCCAGCAGAAGGCCCTGCGAGAAGCGGCCCCGAGGCCAGGCGCCAGGGCCCCCAGAGGCCGAACACAGCGAAACACCTGCCGCCGTGACGTTTCCACCAGGCCAGGGGTTCTGGGAAGCCTGGCGAGAGCCCCCAGGGACCGAAAAGAGCACCCACCTCCTCTGCCAGGGCCGGCCGGCGAGTGGCGCATGAGCTTAGGTCGGGCATATCCTCCCACAGGCGGTTTTTGGACGAAACCTTTCAAAAAAAGAAACAACCGCCGTCGGCATTCTGACCATGTTTGACTATCTTTGAATTCTCCCCCTGTAGAGGAGCATCAGTCGGGGCTTCGTCAACGGGGGTTTAGCTAAACAGGGGCTTAGGCTTGTCTCTGGCGCCCTGACTATCTGGGACGAAACAGTTCAGAAAAGGACACAATCGTCCGCACCCTGACTACTTTTGACTATCTTTGAATTCTCCCCCTGTATCGGGAGCGGCCAAGAGGGGGCTGTCCAAGAGGGGTGGGGGGGGGGGTATCATGACCGGCGGCATGTGCGCGGCCCAGCGGGGGGGCCAGGGACGCAATGAAATAAGAAGAGGCGCCGTGAAATCTGGGGAAATATCATGGCCCACGCCATGATATCCACCCCCCCAGTCATCACACCCCTCTTTGCCGCCCCCGATTAAATCCATGCTTGCGTTTCCTCGAGGAGGAGGAGGAGGAGGAAGAGGAGGAGGAGGAGTAGGAGGGGGAGGAGGAGGAGGAGGAGGAGGAGGAGGAGGAGGAGGAGGAGGAGGAGAAGAGGGGGAGGAGGGGGAGGAGGGGGAGGGGGAGGGGAGGAGGAGGAGGAGGAGGGGAGGAGGAGGAGGAGGAGGAGGAGGAGGGGAGGAGGAGGAGGAGGAGCCCTCGTCAGCACCCCCCTATAGGCAGCACCTCCCTCTCTGCCGCCCCCGACCTGTCGAGGGGCGTCGGAACAGACGCCCCGCGGCCCGGGGGCCAACCTCCGACGACGCCCTGCTTCGAGGCTGCGGCTGCCGCGGGGCCGCGGGCGTCGACGAGCGGGCCGCGGGGCCGCGGCCCGCTCGGCCCGCATCGCCGCGTCGACCGAGGGCTCGGCCCCGTGGGAGGCATCGCCGCATCGACCGAGGGCTCGGCCGCGTTGGAGGCATCGACGAGTCGACCGAGGGCTCGCCCCTCTGGAGGGATCGACGAGTCGACCGAGGGCTCGCCCCTTTGGAGGCATCGCCGCATCGACCGAGGGCTCGCCCCCCCCCGAGGGGTCGAGGAGCCCATCGAGGCTTCGAGGGGGCATCGACGAACCAATCGAGGGCTCTGGGGGCCCCACGCACCCCGAGGCGCGGGGGCGCCCGCCGAGACACGGGGGGGGGGGGGGGGGGGGCAGCGCCCGCCGCGGAGGCCTGCTTCCCCCCGCCGCAGGCGCCGGCGCACAGCTGCTCCACGGAGGAGGAGCACACGACCTGGCTGGAAGCGCGGGCGACGACGACAGCGGCGGCCGCAGCGGCGGCGACAACGACCCAGCCAAGGCGCACCAGCCCCACCGAGACGACGGCGACGGCAACGGTGACAGCCAACACGAAGCCAGGACGACGATGAAATCGGGTGAGGGGAAAATCGAGAATCTCTGAGACCCGGCGGCTCCAGAAGAGTCTCAGAGCGTTCCAGAACGCTCTGAGCGCTTCCTGGAAAAAGCTGAAACGGAATTATCCTCGTCGTAGCCCCGTCCGAGCAGAGGCAACGGCGGCCACGACGACGACGGCGGCCATAGCGGCAGAGACGACAACGACGACCAGGCCGCGGTGCACCGGCCCCGCAGAGACGAATACGGTGACGGCGACAGCGGCGCGGCGGTGACGACCAGCGACGACGACGGCCGCAGCGACGACGACGACGACGACGACGACGAAGGACGACGACGACGACGAACTGCCCGAGGGGCACCAGCCCCACCGAGACGACCACTGCGGCCTCGACGGATACGAGGGCTGAGATGGCGATAGAGGCCAGCGCCAAACTGACCAGAATCACGGGACCACTCAAGGATCAACGTTACTTTAATGATTGGGTCAGGCGGGGCCAGAATGCACACGCGGAAACAGGCCTCACCCTTCCCAAGATAGAGGGCGGGGGGGAACGGGGAGAGCGGAAGCGGGAGGGAAATGAGTGGAACAGGGGAGGGGGGGAGGAGGTAGTAGCTACCTATAAGCCACTATACGGTAGCGTTGGCATAAAAGGCCACCCGCGCGTTTCATGAACGTTGGTTCTAACGCAGACCGGGGCGACGCCACTACACAGTGGTGATCGGCATGATGTATCATGAAGGTCGGGTGGCCGACGGGGGGCAGAAGGTAGCAGGAAAGTTCAGGATGTTGTTAATTCGTGGATTGTGGAAGGAACCTGCCCATTAGCTGAAGAACAGTTCATCTACATGGCGGGGCCTGCAGTAATCCCACCAGCCCTCTGGGCGTAGGCGATTTCGGGCGTTTCCTCGTCCACCCCTCCCCCTTCCTCTTCGGGGAGGGGGTTATCACTGTTCCCTATTAAGAAACACCCCCTCCCCCACCCGGCCGGTAGCCAACGTGGAACCATGCGGGCACCGCCCCCACCATCCCCGTCGAAAAACAATACAAAATGCACATTGCGGGCCCACCCTGCCAACACCCCCCACAATCCTTCAAAAAAACCATACGAAGTGCACATTGCAGCAAAATCTGGACAATGCGTTGGCGCCATGTGAGCACGTTGTACGTAGTGTTTTTGCGACAGGGATGGGGGGGCACCCTTAGTGAAGCCGCTTTGTGCAGGACCACCATCCGAATCAAAAAACAATACACAACGCACGTTGCGATAACGTAGTGGGTATTGTGCCGGCCACCCGCGATTTTTTTTGACAGGGACGGCAGTGGTGCCCGCGCGATGATGCTTGCTGTGCGCACGCCCAAAACAATGCTGACGCCCCCCACATCAGCACCTGGACCATGCGGGCGGGGGGCATCACGCTGCTGTTGACGAGGATGGCACACCAGGCGCAGGTGAGCCCGCGGCGAGCATCGCGCACCTGGCGTCCGCTGAGGTTCCATGTGGCTGTCCATCCAATGGCGACCATGGGCTATGCCGAGACCCGGGTGCCACTTATGTGGCGGGAGGGCGGGTGGGAGTGAGCGAGACGGCTTGCGGGCGGGGAGGGCGGTTTGATCACTGTTCCCTATTGATAAACACCCCCTCCCCCAGGCGACTGGGGGCCAACCAGGGTCCATGCCACCCCCCCACAATCCCTTGTAACAAACCCATAAAAAAATGCACTCTGCCTCCAAATTCGGAACATGCGCAGCCAACCCGATGCGGCCCCCCCCACCATCCCTGTCAAAACACAATACAAAGTACACTTGGCGGCGGCGGCTGCGGAGGCTGCGGCGGCGGTGGCGGCGGCTGCGGCGGCTGCGGCGGCGGCGGCGGCGGCGGAGGCCGCGGCGGGGGCGGCGGCGGGCGGCGGCGGCTGCGGCTGCGGCGGCGGCGGCGGCGGTGGCGGTGGCGGTGGCGGCAGCGGCTGCACCGGCGGCGGCGGTTTGGCAGCGGCGGCGGCGGCGCAGGCGGCGGCGGCGGCGGCGGCGGATTGGCCCCCAGTAGCTGCCCATCCAAAAACGACTGCTGAATATGCTGAGGTTCGGGCCAGACTCGGGTGCTACGTACGTGTTGGGAGGGCGGGTGGGAGTGAGCGAGACGGCTTGCGGGCGGGGAGGGGGTCTTGATCACTGTTCCCTATTAATGAACACCCCTTCCCCCAGGCGACCGGGGGCCAACCAGGGTCCATGCCGACACCCCCCCCACCATCCCGTCTAAATTATCCCGGCAAAGCAACCTAACAGCGATGTGTAGAAGCATATCTGAAAGCATTCCCCTTAAGATTCAGATGAAAATCCAGTTGTCGAATTCTGCTGTTCTCGCAGTCGTAGTCGCATTCGCGATGACAGTCGCAGCGGCAACGGCAGTCGCAGTCACAGCCTCAGCCTCAGCCTGCCTCAGCCTCAGCCTCAGCCTGCCTCAGCCTCAGCCTGCCTCAGCCTCAGCCTCAGCCTGCTTCAGCCTCAGCCTCAGTCTGCCTTCAGCCTCGGCCTCAGCCTCAGCCTGCCTCAGCCTCAGCCTCAGCCTCAGCCTGCCTGCCTCAGCATCAGCCTGCTTCAGTCTCAGCCTCAGCCTGCCTCAGCCTCAGCCTCAGTCTGCTTCAGCCTCAGCCTCAGCCTCGGCCTCAGCCTCAGCCTGCCTCAGCATCAGCCTGCCTCGGCCGCAGCATCAGCCTGCCTCAGATTTCAAAATGTGGCCCAAGAATAAAGTTCCGGGAACTAGAAGAACACGAAGTGGCCTACAGTTGGCTCCAGGCATTCAAAATCATGCCCAGGAATGGAATTCTGGGAACAAGAACGAAGTGGCCTACAGCTGGCTCCGGGCATCCAAAATGTGGCCCGGGAATGGAGTTCTGGGAAGTCGAAGAGCACGAAGTGACCTACAGTTGGCTCCGGGCATCCAAAATGTGGCCCGGGAATGGAGTTCTGGGAAGTCGAAGAGCACAAAGTGGCCTACAGCTGGCTCCGGGCATCCAAAATGTGGCCCGGGAATGGAGTTCTGGGAGCACCAAGAGCGATTTTGCGAGGATGTCCAAAACGATTTCAGCTTCGGCGGCAGCCTCGGCGGCAGCCTGTCCGGGTCCCGCCCAGACCCCCCTGAGGAGTCATGATGCTCTCTTTTGAGACCACTAGAAACCTATCAGCAAGAGCTGTTAGGTAAAAAATACAAAACACATTCTGCCTCCAAATTCAGAACATGCGCAGCCAGCCCGATGCGGCCCCCCCCCCACCATCCCTGTCAAAACACAATACAGAGTACACTTGGCGGCGGCGGCGGCGGCGGCGGCTGCGGCGGCGGTGTCGGCGGCTGCGGCGGCTGCGGCGGCGGCGGCGGCGGCGGCGGGGGCGGCGGCGGCGGCGGCGGCGGCGGCGGCGGTGGTGGCGGCAGCGGCAGCGGCAGCGGCTGCGGCGGTTTGGCAGCGGGGGGCGGCGGCGGCGGCGGCGGCGGCGGCGGCGGCGGCGGCGGCGGAGGCGGAGGCGGCGGCGGCGGATTGGCCCCAGTAGCTGCCCATCCCAAGACGACTGCTGAACATGCTGAGGCTCGGGCCAGACTCGGGTGCTACGTATGTGTTGGGAGGGCGGGTGGGAGTGAGCGAGACGGCTTGCGGGCGGGGAGGGGGTAACTTGACCCCTCCCCCTACCCCCTCCCCTGGACCTGGACGGGGCGTTCCGCAAGCGGTCGGAGCGTCTAAAACGACCTCGGCGAGGAAGCCAAAATTATTAATGTTACTAATGTTTTGGCTCCATGTTGGCATCCTGGGGGGGAAAGGCTAATTAGGGCCCCCCTTCTTTGATCGATCTCCTTCGAGATGGCCTCAAGACCCAAGGCTCCCGAAGGTGCCCCAATATAAGAGGGCCCCAAGAGGTGGCCAGGAGGCCCCAAGAGGCCCACAAGAGGCCCCCAGGATGCCCCAAGAGGCCCCAAGAGGCCCCTCAGAGGCACCCAAGACGCTCCAAGAGGCCTCGGCGAGAATGCCAAAATCCTTCATGTTACTAAGGTTGTGACTACATTTTGGCCTCCTCCGGGGGGGGGGCACTGCTTAAGATGACTCCAAGAGCGCCTGGGAGAGCCCCAGATGACCTCCAAGATGGCTCAAGATATCACAAGATGCCTAAAGATGGCTCCCACGATGCTCCAAGACGCCCCAAGACCGCTCCAAGACGGCTCCAAGTGGCCAAAGAGCTCCCCCAGGAGGCCCCGAAGAGCCCAATATCCTTCCAAAACCGAGGCCTCAAGATGGCTCCAAGATGGAGGCCATCCCAGTGCGCTCTCAGCCATCTTCCGGACAACCTGGGGCGCTTTGGCAGCCTCTTGGGCCAGCTTGGGGGCCTCTGGCGGGGTCCAAAGATAAGAGTCACACGGATGCAACGCAAATCAAACTTGACAACAAGGATGTGCGGTAAGGTTGCAAGTGCCGTGATCGCCCACGCCGAGGCGCTTCGTGGCCATCGAACGCGGTTGAAGATGGAACGGTGAAGGCCAAAGAGGCAAAGATGCAAGAATGCACTTGTGAAACCCATCATCATGACTACAATCGGGGCCCTGAAGAAGGAACCCTTTTTGTTGGGGAGGGGCTCCGTGTTCCTTAGTTGCTTTACAGTGCTCCTTGGGTTTTCCTGAGGTTGTCCATGGAACATCGGAGTTTAACTTATTGGGAAAAAGGGGCCTCGTTCCTTGTTTATCGTTCCTCAGGTCAAACCTCCCGACGGTATCCGTGCTGGAGGGGAGAGGCGAGGAAGGCAACGGGGGGGGGCGGAGGGGGAGTGCGCGAGGGGAGGGCGGCGGTGGGAGAGCAGAGGAGGGGAAGGAGGCAGAGGAGGAGGAGGGGGGCAGGACGCGAGGAGGAAGACGGGATCGAAGACAGCATGCGTGCGCCTGCGCCACGTCTGACACCCCGCCCGCTGCTTCTCACTGCGCTGGGCAGTGCAGTATATCCTCTGGGCGGGGCGTCCTCGAGGAGGCCTTTTGGCCCTGGGCCTTGGGCCCTGGACGGCAGCACACGCGTCTCCTCCTCCTCCTCCTCCTCCTCCTCCTCCTCCTCCTCCTCCTCCTCCTCCTCCTCCTGGCGTCCAGCCGTGGCGGCGGGGCACGGGGGAGGGAGTGGGTAGCCGTTCCTCTGTTCGTCCCCTGGGGGGTGCCCGTCTCGCCTGTCCTGGCTCTTGGCCGGGGCCGAGGCCACACCACTGCCCGACGCCCCGGCGATGCGGCCCAGAAGCCTGCGGGCACGGCGGACTCTGGTGAGGCGGGCCCCCCCCCCGCCATCCAGGTGGACCCACGCGCCATCAGTGGTCCAACGAACAGTGGTCCTCCATGCTTCCCTCCCTCTTCCCCATCCCCCCCTCCCTCCTTCCCTCGCGGGCGGCGGCAGCTCGGGGGACGTGGCCCGAGTCCGGGCAGCCCACCTGCGCGAACATCGCCTGGAACGGAAGCCGTCGTCGTCGTCGCCGCCACCGCCGCCCTCGTCGCGGTGGCAGTTGTCAGCGTCGTCGTCGCGATCGTCGTCGTCGGCGTCGTGGCGGCCGTTGTCGTCGTTGGCGTCGCTGTCGTCGTCGCGGTCACGGTCGTCGTCCGTGTAATTGTCGTGATGGCCGTCGTGGTCGTATTCATCAACCTTCTCCTGATCCTCGTTCCCCTCCTGCTCATCCTCCCGCCTCCCTGCCCCCACCTCATTCCGCCTCCTCCTCCTCCTCCTCCTCCTCCTCCTCCTCCTCCTCCTCCTCCTCCATGTCATCCTCCCTCATCCCTCCTCTTCCGCCCTCCTGACCCCCCTGTCCCAGGGCTGTCCAAAAGCTGCCCGTGATCGCAGATCGATCAGATCGCTTACATAAACCGTCCTCGTTATCTCACGCATTCGCCTCATCATCCTCTTCATGCTCCGCGCACTGTTCCGCCCTGCTGGCCAAGCCCACCACCTCCGTCCACCCGACTGCAATTCTCACCCTGGTCTAAATCAAACTCTTACCTCATCCTCACACCCATCATCGTCACGATCACCATCAGCATCATGGCATGATCATCCTCAGCATCATCATCACCATCACCATCACCATCAGCATCAGCATCAGCATCAGCATCAGCATCAGCATCAGCATCGGCATCATCATCATCAGCATCATCATCAGCATCAGCATCAGCATCAGCATCATCATCACCATCAGCATCATCAGCATCAGCATCAGCACCATCATCATCATCATCATCATCCTCATCATCATCATCATCATCATCATCAGCATCATCATCATCATCATCATCATCATCATCATCATCTGCAGCAGCAGCATCATCATCAGCAGCAACATATGCATCATCATCAGCAGCATCATCATCAGCACCATCAGCATCGGCATCATCGTTAGCATAATCATCAGCAGCGTCATCATCATCATCATCAGCAGTAACATCAGCATCGTCGGTATCATCATCATATTCAGCATCATCACCATCACTCATCATCACCATCGGTATCATAATCATCATCATCATCATCATCATCATCATCATCATCATCATCATCATCATCATCATCATCATCATCATCATCATTATCAGCATCATCATCATCATCGTCAGCAGCAGCATCATCAGTATCATCATCGTCATCATCAGCATCATCATCATCAGCATCATCATCACCATCATGTTGATCATAGCCATCATCGTCATCACTGCCACCATCACCATCATCACCGCTAGCGGACCCGCACGGCCCTGAGCGGGGTGGGGCTAGTGGGCCCCCGACGGGGATGAATGGGCGATTGGGTGTCGATGCGCCCCCCCCCTGAGACCATCCCCAAACAATGGCCCACCTGGCTGTCGATGCATAATTTCTGGAGGTCGCAAAGGAGTGTGGTAGAAGGGGGTGCTGTGCCAATGCTGAGAATACCGATGTTATATACGATAGCCGCAAGTGCACTGCACCCCGCTTTCAACAACGCTGGTTTCGCGTCGACCGCTTCAAACAAAATCGGCAGGATAATTCCAACTTCCAAACGACCGCCGTCCAATCTGAACGGCGACAAAAAAGCCCAATCCATGACGCCGTATCGCGACTCTGGAGATTCTAGACTTTCCGGAATTCATTCTTGTAATTCTGGAATTTCCGGAACGTCGTTTCGGAATTTCCAGAATTATGGTTTATACACAAAAAACACTCCTAAATTCTGGAATCTCCGGAACTACGTTTTGGGCGATATGGAAATTCCGGAATGGCGCTTTTCGCGATTCGGAATTTCCGCAATGTCGTGGTTGGTGATCGGAAGTCCTGAAACAGGTGCAGTGTTGCCGTTTCCATAAACCTGCGGGTTTTGGGGGGAAGTGGGAATCAAGGGCTCTGACGTTGCTGGAGGCGGTCCGCGTCAAGCCAACATTGTGGAAATGGGGACGCAACGCACTTGCGGCCACCGTAGAACATATCGGCATTTGTAACATTGGCACCGCACCCCATTTGTGCCATACCACTCTGCGACCTCCCCGGCTCTGCGACAGACATTCGAGACGGTCTGGACACCCCCAGAACGCCCTCGGCGAGGCGCGGTCGCTGAAAGGCACGCCTAAGCTGGAAAACAGCCACGAGCCTACAGTGGAGGCCTGTCCACAAGAAACCCAACCCTGAGACCCCCGGACGTCCATTGACTTTTGATGTGGGCACGTCGCGCTTTCCATGGCAAGACCATCGAAACCCAAGAAACCCAGGGCACCCTGGAGGCAAGAAGGGCGTTTCTTGGCATGGGCCCCGACTGTACGAAAACGTCCGAAAACCTACAACCTCAAGCCTCGGAAGCAACGCTGCCCCTGACTCCTGCTCCCTGCTCAATGCTCCTCCTTGACGGCGCGCACACGGGGTAAGGGGGAGGGGGTGAGGCTTCTTAGATAGGGAGCCCACAAAGGACGTACGCGCCCAGCTATGTACATGAACACGGCCCCTTGACCCGCGAGACCGGCCGCGTGATGCGAATATTCGCGCAATGCGTACTCTCGAAACCAGCGTGGATTCATGTACGTGGACGTCCTCTTGTCGCTCCTGATTATGAGAAGGAGCCCGCTCCTTGGAAGGCCGCGGCCTTACATCTGCAGACACGGCCCGTGCCATCTAAGAAGCAGGGGTTGGGCGCCCGAGTTATCCGGGGTAACTCGGGTCCGGGGTAAGTCGGGTTTGGATTCCCGAAAAAGGAACCCGAGTTAGCCCTGACCCGAGTTACCCCTGATGATTCGGGGCTCTGGACGCCCGAGTTATCCGGGGTAACTCGGGTCCGGGGTAACTCGGGCTTGGATTCCCGAAAAACGAACCCGAGTTAGCCCTGACCCGAGTTACCCCTGATGATTCGGGGCTCTGAAGGGGTGCTTCTGAGAAACCTTCCCCCCTCCCCCTACCCCCCTCTGCGCGTGGCTGACCTCCCCCGCGCAGCCTCCACTCTGGCGCGGTCCGAGGCGTCGAGCGCCGCGCAGAGCTCCGTGCACCTCAGCGCCGCCAGCTGGGCGGAGAGAGGAGCGAGGCACCGCAGAGAGAGAGGCAGACGGGGAGGATCCTCGGACGACGGCAGAGGGAGTCAAGAGGCACACGAGCCAGTCTCACTTTTGACCACCCGCTAGTTGGCTTCTCTTCCACCGCCACCACCATACGTAGGAATGGAGGGGGTCCTCCTCCTCCTCCTCCTCCTCCTCCTCCTCCTCCTCCTCCTCCTCCTCCTCCTCCTCCTTCCCCCCTCCAACTTATGGTGGTGGTGGTGGAGCACGATACCAAAAACGGGAGCCGCACGATACCAAAAACTGCCCGCTGGGTGGCCCGCGGCGGCCCGGCTGCTCGACGAGGAGGCGCACGGCAGGCCTCCGCGTCGCCCGCAAGCGAGAGCGGGGGAGGCATGCTTCACCCGGTGAGGAGTCGGAGGACGGGCAGAGACAGCTCGGGAACCTCTCGGGCCGGGCGAGAGGGGGGGATCGCAGAGGGGGGGGTCTGAGAATCAGCTCACGCAGCTGATCTTCCAGGCGCCTCCCGGCGCCGGGAGGCGCCCAAATGTATCGAGGAATGGGCCCGGCGGCGGGGCCGGAGCCGGCTGCACGCAGCAGATTTCGTAACCCCCCCTTTCCCTATCAACCCCGCTTTCGGTCGGCCCGAACCTCTGAGGGCCGGCGGGCCAGCGGGCCTGGAGTCGGGGGCTCAAAGGTGGTGGCCCCGATCGGGACGGGGTCCCGAGGACGAGATGCCTCCAGCAGTGCAGATCCACGCTTGAATCCCTCCCTATCCTCAGGACCCCATCACTCAGGACCCCACATCTTCGAAGCACCGATGGGGGAGTTCCAGAGGGCTCCAGAACGCCACGAGGACGCAACAGGAACGCGGTGTGCGGCCGACATCTGAGGGATGCAACATAACCCTGGCAAAGCACCCCGATAGCAACAAAGGTGACAAAATGGCGGGTCGAGGAGTAGGACCGCCAGCTATGGGAGACAGGGATGGAAACACGACCATGTGCATGTTTAGAGGGAGGAACAAGGCATAGACATAAACTTTTGAAGCTCCGCGCGGATCTCTTGGATCTGCGCTGGAGCGCGCGGAGCGCGCCAGGGGCGGCACCGGAGGCACCACCAGGGGGGCCACAGCGCGGATCCAAAAACCCGCGCGGGGCGCCACAAGTTTAACCCTAAACCCTGAACCCTAAACCCTAAACCCTAAACCCTAAACCCTAAACTCTAGGTTTATGCCGTTTGTCTTCCTCGAATCTTCGGGCCGTGGCCGCCCAGGCCGAACATGCAGCCAACACTGGGGCGAGATCGCGATGCCTCAAAAGACGGCGAACAAAGCGGCTGGTGGACTCGCCGCCCCCGGGCTCCCCGTCCGCCGTGTGGGGCTCGCCCTCGGTCCCTTTTCACACGTATTGGAACCCTCTTAGGAAGGCACCAACTATACACCAGCACCGATCCTGGCCCAGGATCACCCTGGGCCCAGGAGCGGTGTATACGCCCTCCTGCCTTGCGCAAGAAGGCATATACGCCGATCCTGGGCCCAGGGTGATCCTGGGCCAGGATCGGTGTTGGTGTATAGTTGGTGCCCTCCGACCTCTGGCGAAACGAGGCTGGGAACAAAATGCCGCCCGAGCGCGATGCGGCCGAGAGCTCCAGAACTCGGGCGCCCGGAATGCGCACGGGGAAAGTGCCGTCCAAGACCGACAACGGCCATCCGGACATGCCAGAACTTTTGAGCGGTCCCTCCAGGCGCTGGCGGGGGCTGGCCGCACGACTCTTCCCGAAGCCTCTGGAGCGTGGTTCGGCAGCCGAGCTTCTGACAGGCCCTGAGATGGCCCCACGGACAGCCTGCGGGCCCTCTGGGGGGCATCTTGGGCCATCATGGAGGCTCCAGCGGCGGAAGAGGCCCGAATCATTGGAGCATAGTGCCTGCTCAGAATTACGCCAAGACGTGTCCAAGGCGGCCTGTCAGGCTCCCAAGATCCGCCAAAGGAAGGGGGCCCCAGACCGAGGCCCACAAGAGGAGGCCAAGAGGCTGCAAAGAGGCTCCCAGGGGGGATCCATGAGGGAGAACTCGAGCTGCCTTTCGGAACCCTCCACCCCAAGAGGGCCCCAAACACAAGCAGCCGGCCAACATGAGGCGCCACGATTTCAGTCTTCACTCGTTCACTCAGTCCCTGGCACGCCCGACATGGGTACGGGGAAAAACGGGCACAACGCCCAACAGCAAGTATGGTGTCCCAAGCCGACAGCGGTCCCTGTTGGTCGGCGGCAGGCTAGGGGGGGAGTGAGAAGGTGGAGGCCTTCTCAGAAGGCGGTGGGACTTCTCAGAAGACCTCGTGCCTTCTGGGAAATTGTCTGTCCCCTTCGGAGAGGGCTCAGAAAACTTCCCCAAGAGCGGAGGCATTCCAAGCCTTCCGAGAAGGCCCGCCCGCTGTCATTTCACACCCTGGGTCACCGCCGACTTGGGACTAGGCAAGGGTGGCCTTGGGCGCACTGCTTGACGATTGCTGCATGCGGTGCGACCGTAGTAGACCGCGTGGAGATTGATGTTTGTTAATCGCTTCCGATAGCGGTCGTTATCCAATGGCCTACCGAGCCTTCTGAGAAGGCCCGCCCCCTCTCACTTCGCGCCTTGGGCTGGCCACCGAGTTGGGCAAGCGATCTGTCTCAACTACACAGCGTCTGACTACTTTCCAGACCACCCCAAAACCTGATACCCCGAAGACCCACACTTCGGGTTGGAGGATGTACGGTTTTTT